TTTTTATTTTTATTATATATAAAATTTTATTTATTTATTTATTTTTATGAGAGATTTTAGCTATAGGGTGTGTATACTCGCAAGAGAGAAAGAAAGCGAGAAATCATCCTCTGGGGAGATGGCCACACCACAATCCCTTCTCCTCCGTTCTCCTCTCAAGACTTCAGGCATGCGTGTAGAAGTGCCTGGCGTGAGTTTTAAGCTGCCAGGTCCAGGACTTGAATATGTGGGAGTCTAGCGACACAACCATTACATCATCTGCTGGTCCCAATAATTCTTTTTTTTTTTAAAGGGGTTTAGCAGGGTCAGCAGGTGGCATGGTGGATAAAGGCACTGAACTCCCACATGATCTACTGCAGTTCAAGTCCAGCTTGCTTTCTCACTTTCCTTTTCTCTCTTTCTCACTGTCTCTGTATAGTCAAATTAAAGAAATAATAATAACAAATGGAATTAAATAAATAATTCTTTAAAAAATAATAAAAGGGCTTTAGAGCCCTTGTTATAAACGTGATTAGCCTCAGGGCTGGCAGGTGGTGTGGTGGTTAGGGCCTGGATTCCCACATGACTGACCGTGGTTCAAGTCTTGATCTGACAACTTGCTTTCTCGCTTCCCTTCTCTCTCTCTGTTTCTCACTGGTCAACTTCAAAATAAAATAAAATATACTGACAATGAATAAAAATTAAATAAAATAATTATTTTTTAAAAAATGATTAACCTTGGGGGACCAGCAGGTGGCATAGTGGTTAAGACACTGGACACTCCCACATGGCTGACCATGGTTCAAGTCCTGGACCTGGTGGCTTACTTTCTCACTTTCTCTCTGTCTCCCTCTCTGGTCAAAATATATGAATGAATAAATAAAATTATATAAAATAATTCTTTAAAAAAAAAAAGATGATTAGCCTTGGGAACAGCAGATGGCATAATGGTTGTGTCACTTGACTTCTACGTGACTGACCATGGATTGAGTCCCAGACCTAGCAGCTTGAAACTCACGCTGTTTGCGTGTGTGGGCATGCCCAAAATCCCAAGAGGAGAATGGAAGAGAAGGGATCATGGCATGGCCATCCTCCCAGGGGGGTGATTTCTCATTTTCTGTCTCTCTGTCTCTGTTGCTCTGGTGAACGAACACATGCACCCTATTACAAAAATCTCTCTTAAAAAGAAGAGATTGGCCTCAAATTGGTATGAGCAGCTTTGACAAAAGGTTTGGTGTGGGAGGAGTGTGGAACTACTTCTATCAAAATTAGACCTAGGGACTAGCAGGTGGTATAGTGGTTAAGGCGTTGGACACTTCTACATAGCTGACCACAGTTCAAGTCCTGGGCCTGGTGGCTTGCTTTCTCACCCCCCCACCCTATGTGTCTCTCTCTGTCAAATAATAAATGAATAAATAAATTAAATTAAATAAATAATTCTTTTAAAAAATTAGACCTTGTGGGGCCAGCAGATGGTGTGTAGCAGTTACATCACTGGACTCCCACATAGTCTACCACAGTTCTAGTCCTAGACCTGGTGGCTTGAAACTCATCCCAGGCACATGCACATGCACGCCCAAGATCCCGGAAGGAGAATAGATTACGGCATGACCATCCCCCCGAAGAGGTGATTTCTCACTTTCTCTCCCAACTGTCTCTGTCTCTCTATGGTAAATGCATGCACCCTAAAGCAAAAACCTCTAAAAAAGAAAAATTAGACCTTATGGGCCAGCAGGTGGCGTGGTGACTAAGGCGTTGCATCCCACATGACTGGCTCTATAGTTTGTGATGGAGCCATCTCCCCAAGGTGTGCTTTCTCATTTTCCCTCTCTCTGGTGAGTGCACATACCCTATAACGAAAACTGAAAAAAGAAAAAATGAGACGTTGCTATTAGAATTTTATTTAACTTTTTAAAAATTTATCCATTTATTTATTTATTTATTTTAATTTGACCAGAGAGGGACAGAGAGAGAGAGAAAGAATGAGAAAGCAAGCCTCCAGTCCAGGACTCAAACCACGGTCAGCCACATGGGAGTCCAGCACCCCTAACTACCATACCACCTGCTGGCCCCCCCTTTTATTTTTAACTTTTTAAAAAATGTATCTATTTATTTATTTTAAATTACCAGAGAGGGACAGAGAAAGAGAGAGAGACTTTGTTATTAGAACTTTAAAATTTAGAACTAGAAAAAAATCTCAGAAGTAGCACTAAAATTATTATTATTATTGGATTTTTTTGGAAAAGTTTTTGCTATCGGGTGCATGCACTCACCAGAGAGAAAGAGAGAGACAGAGAGATAGAAGGCAAGAAATCACCCCCCACAGAGGATGGCCACGCCACAATCCCTTCTCCTCCATTCTCCTCTTGGGATCTTGGGCACACAC